GATCCTAACAATTCTTGGGGAAGCAAACACCTCGTGGTACTTTCACAAGGTCAGGGACCACTTAGCGTTACAATATACAAGAAAATAGTGATTTAAGGTGCTCTTTTATATTAAACTAGTACAAATAATGATACAATTACTAGTAATTATTAATGTCCTCCATTTATCATATTTTCTTCTTCACTTTTTTATTATTTAATTTACTGTAATATTCTTTTTACATCGTTTGCAAATGTGCATCTAGGAGGATCAAATCCCACAGCCTAATAAAATAGGTAGATATGGCATAAATTTATACGTATTAGAAAAAAAATAAGTGTAGTTCTAAAACAAGTTTATTTAATTTTATATGGTGTCATTTCGTATGTCTCATTTCATACTCATAAATTTCTTCATGTATCTCTCCTTCCAAATTATGTTTATTTCTAAATAAGTATTTAATTTCATCTATTCTTGGGTGTTGAAAGATCTTTTTCTTTGTAATCATCAAGAGGTATAAATTATTTATTATATAATACTAGATTTAAAACATAACGATGAATTTAATTTGTCAAACTTTATCGTATCGGCACATGAATTTTGCAAATAGCTTGAAGTGATGAATTCCTCATCTCATCTGGAAGATATCATATTATTATTATAAATTATTCATTACAAGATAATACCTACCATTTATTTGGTTATTCAGATTTATAGCTCACATCCACATCTGATATAAAAACAAAAACAAAAGTTTTAAGTCAATAAGGACAAAAGTTGCTAGGTTTTCCACCATAGAAGATATAATATCCCCTTTCCTCTGAGTATCGGACATCCGAGTCAACATCATAGCATTGTGGTTTGTCTACGGATTCATCTATTTGGTCGGAGGAGGGCTTTATCAATTCAGGTCCATCATGTAATGCATACATTATCTTACTAACATAGGCTGCCTTAGCATAGCCCTCTTCAGGGAAGTGGCCGCTTCCCATTTCTAGGTTTCTCAACCGTTTCTTCGCTGGATACATTTGGCCACCCCAGAATATTTCCTTGGCTCCATCAGATGTCAGCTTAGGAACAAGCTCACTTGGCCAATACCCGACTAATATGTCAATCCCTCCCACTTTAAGCCACCAGTTTTTAGTATTTGCATCCTGCACAAGAAGATTGTAGGAATTTATAAGACAAATGTAAGTATAGAAATTAGTTATATTTGGCCACCCCACAACAAGATTTTTGGGTGTGACTTTACTTGTGGAGCTTAAATAGATGGCACGAACATAACCCAAACCACATAAAAGAGTTTAGACTTAAGTATATTATTTATGATAATTAATAAGTTCATTTAGTCTAAAGAGTATGGAACCAATGGTTTATAAAGTTTCCAAAGGATATATCCTACTCATTGTCTGAGCCTATAGGATCAAGAGATAAAACCCTATGTGTTTTTTGGAGCACTTAGTAATTTATTGTTATTAGATAATAGAAGAGATATTTTGGTTCATTCCAAAGTAAGATAATAATTTTCTTTTTTGAAATAGTTGCTTACCCGGAACAGATGAAACCGTTCAACATATTGCTTATTTGGATCATTGTATTGGGAAATCAATGACATCTGTGCACCAAGTGGTAATTTTCCGGTCGTGACAAAACCGGGGCAAAGAGTGTTAATGCATCTCACTGGATCATCATTGTTCTGGAAAAAACATACAGAATGAGCGACTTGATATCTCAAGTGTGGCAATATAAAGAGGAGATTGTACTCACCGACCAGAATATGAACATACGTGGCGATGTATCCTTGAACAAAGCTGGATTGACCTAAATAACACAAGCAAAGCTTAGAAATTAGTTCTTTATACCTAATAGAAATTTAATAACTTGTAGCAACCTTCATTTTCATTTAGTAACATAAAATTTTGTCCAGATTATACTTGTCAAATAATCTAATCTCGTTCAGCATTAACTTACCAATTTAGCGTTTTGTTGTGACAATCTTTTGAAGTCTGTCTCAGATTAAATTATTGTAGGAGAATTTTTTATAATGCAGATGTTATTGGACATATTTAAGGATCAAATATGATGCAACAAACTTAAGCTTGATGTGAGACTGTAAGTAATAAAGTACGGTGCACATATATTATCTTGTCGATTTATTTCCCTTGTCCTTATCTTTTATCGTGTGACTTTATTGACCTCATAATGC